TCATATACATATTCTCTCCCCCACCCCCTTTCTCTCCAGTTGAAATATTTTGCAGAGCTCTAAATTTAGGGACGCTTTTGGCATATTTCTTATACACTCCAGAGGCACTCGAGTGAGTTCAATTATCTTCAGTGTTAGGTCTCTCATAGCTTTGCTAGTTTTAATTGCTAATCCATTTTGAGTTCTCTCTAGTCTGTGTCCATTTTATGTGTGTATAGAATGAGGCCACAAAGAGGTTGTAGAACTGTGTCGTTTGGCAACAGAGTTCTAAGGAATTGGTGGTGATTATGGGATGTTGGTAGCCGCTGGGGCTGCCTCAGATGGAAAGCAAAAGGTTCTAAGTATTTATAAATGTAAATTCTACTGTATAACTGAGTGTCTTCCATTTACCAGCACTTGATACTACTAAATCCTCACAGCAACCCTGTGTTATTATTTCTGTTTTACAAGTGAGGAGGCTGAAGCTGAGGTCACACAGGTAGACAGGAAGCGATGGGTTCAGATTCCCAGCCAGGTCTGCCTGGGAGCTTTCCTTCTTTTGAGGGTGATGTTGAGTTCACTCTGGATGTGGTGTAGCTATTGCCACAGTTAGAATGCATTTTAGAGTTTGAGCCAGTTTTGATGATTGCTTCATCTTACTGACAAAACTCCTTGTTTATCCCTGGAACTCTCTCTAATGCTTCTGCTAGGAGTTTAGAGGGATGGGCCCACTAAGCTGCTTGGTTACATTTTTAAAACAAAATTTATCGTAAGAAATGGAGGCTGGGCGCAGTGGCTCACGCCTGTAATCCCAGCACTTTGGGAGGCCAAGGTGAGCACATCACGAGGTCAGGAGTTCAAGATCAGTCTGGTCAACATGGTGAAAGCCCATCTCTACTAAAAATACAAAAATGAGCTGGATGCTGTGGTGCATGCCTGTAATCCCAGCTACTTGGGAGGCTGAGGAAAGGAGAATTGCTTGAACCAAGACTCAGGAAGCAGAGATTGCAGTGAGCCGAGTTCACAGCACTGCACTCTAGCCTAGGCTACAGAGCCAGACTCCATCTCAAAAAAAAAAAAAAGGAAATTATTAACAAAATGTACCACTATCTCTTTTTGATGTGAAGTTAATTTATTGGCCACTGTTAACAATTATTTCAATTCTTTTACTTAAGTTTCTTGCTGTTCTTTTGTAGAGACAGGGTCTTGTCATATTGCCAAGGCTGTTGTAAAACTCCTGCACTCAAGCAACCCTGGTGCCTAAGCCTGCCAGAGTGCTGGGATTACCTGTGTGAGCCACTGTACCTGGCCTCAGCTCTTATTAAAATTAAAACACCTTAATACTTTTAGCAGACTTATTGGGCCAATATTTTCAAGACCTATGCAGAATTACCAGTGCCACATCCCCTTTTTCTGTGGCTCCACCCCTTCACATTTTTGCCCAAGAAAACATTCGTGTTTGCCTGTAGCTAATGTGCAGTTGTTTCTGCCCCCATATCAACAGGGCTTAATGAAAACTGTAGAAAGTAGGAACTCGTGGGAGAGAAGAGAAAAAAGACGAGTTCACAAGGTATGTTTAGTGTATAAAAAAAGAGAAAGACTAGAAAGCACAGATATAAAGGAAGTGAAGAAACGAATCAGTGAGATAGAGCTAAAGCTTTTTTCTGAATTTTTAGCATTATCACCTGGTTTCGTTAACCAGCTGCATTAATTTTATGCTCCTGATTTGTGCGCAAATTGAAATTTTTGCTACTGGATTTAAGTTCCCTCTCTAGGAGTTTCTCTGTTGTTTGCACTAAGGAGAATATAGTTGCTAACTTACTTAGATGACCTTTTCTGAAATTTCTAATTGATAATACTTATTGTTTCATTTACTAATCAGATAAAGCTGAGTAGCTTAGGTAGACTATGAAGAAAATGTCTGTGTGTGTATATATACACCAGCTGAAATGTTAAAGGTAAGTAGCCTGTCTGGTAAAAAAGTAGCTATTTTTTTTATGAAAAGCAACCTCACAGTTTTCAGTAAAGTGTTATTGTAAACTAAGGTTTAACAAAAGAGAAAATTGGCTGAAAAACACATTTTCCAAGATGTTTTAGAGTTCCAGTTTCTTCTCGGCTGATGGCATGAGCTATTTCAGGAACAGAACTAAATAGATGTTTAGACTTTTATTACTCTTTATTTTCTTCAGAATAGTTTTGCATTTCGTTTGAGGAGAGTCAGAATTCTTATCTGGATTCACCATATTCACATCTGTGTGCACGTGACAGATTTCAGTTCTGCTGTGGTTAACTTATCTGACTTGTCCAACAGGTTCCTGGGTGGAGCTACCCATGAATAGCAGCAATGGCAATGATAATGGCAATGGGAAAAATGGGGGGCTAGAACATGTACCTTCCTCATCCTCCATTCACAATGGAGACATGGAGAAGATTCTTTTGGATGCACAACATGAATCAGGACAGAGTAGTTCAAGAGGCAGTTCTCACTGTGACAGGTAAGTGAGATCCATGTTTTGTGGAGTTCAGGACACGGGTGGGTTACAGGGCTCATTATCTCTAGGAAAAATTTATTTGCTTAAATCTTCATTTAGCAAAAATGCCTCCTGATATATTGCAGTGTAATATATATTCCACAGATGCATACGTTGTGTTTATATCAGACAGCTAATTGACAGGTGTTCCAGTGCCCACTGTTTTCCTCCAGATTGTCACTTTTCTTAATCAGATTACATTATTTTTAGCAGTTTATCCGTTTAAAATTCAGTGGCATAAATGCTAATTCATAGGATTAATCTGACTTTCTCCCATTTTCCTTTGAGTCCCCCTTTCACAGATCACAGACCGCCTTGAATTAGTTACCTGTGTATACATCTGTCTTCCCCTCCAGATCTTGAGGCTTCAAAGGGCAGGGGGCCGTGTTTCATCTTTATTAGCTTCACAGTAATGGTGCTGGCACGTAGTAGACACTAAGTGTTTGACTCATAAGAACTGCAGGTTGATTCACATTGTAGCAATATTTGCACAGTTGGAAGCGCCAACCAAGGTCTGTAAAGGTAGTTTTGAAGGCCCTTCTCCTTTCTCAGAGATGTTTTGTTTCAGACCGTTTTTCTGTATGTGACCCGAGGAAGCTAATTCCATGGATTAAAGACTGCTTATGGTGAAAGAGTAAGATTACAGTGAGATATATGTGTGGAATGAAACCAGGTTATTATTTTTTAGTGTAAGCTTTTCTTTTTTTCCAGAAGGGCTGAATATTCAATGACATTTACAAAATTCTTGTTTCAGTGACAGCTACACTGTGAGCATTACGGGGCACCGGATGACCTGGGTAGTTGTTAACTGATGTTAACCGTTTAGCAAATGCACAGGAATCAGATTAGGGAAACGTTGAGGAATGTAAACAGTGATTATCTTTAGGGATGCAGTATGGATATTTTTCTTCTTAACATTTTTGTATTTGGTAAAAATTGTGTATATTGCACATACTATTACCTACCAGAAGATGTGGAAAGGAGAAATGAGTTAAATTATATTGCAACTTCCTGAGTGGCTTATGATCCACTAATGTTGCCAAGGCAGCCGGGGGACTGGTTTGTTGGCTCTGTGGCACACTGTGCACCCCCGCCACCCCCGTGTCATCCCTGACTTGTCCCTGTGCTTCTTAGAGCCTGGGATGGCTCTTGTCATAAGCAGAACACAGCAGATGGCTCTCTTCTGAACAGCTTGCCCTTGATTCCAGTAGCTACAGCATTAGTCTGTCTTGCCGAATGAAGATTTATGTTTATATTTTGGAACTTGCTGATGGGTTTCTGAAGTTTTCTGCTTGTTATGGCCTGTCAGCAAGACTTTCACTCTACATTCCAGTGTGTGGGCTTTGATCATTGACACCACGGTGTCCAATTGAATATGCCTTCACGCTCCCATGATCGTATTTAGGTTGCAAAAGCATGTGAAAAGGAAGCATGGCAAGTGCTTTTGAACACTTTCCTACCCCTCATCTTATGTATCTCCAGGCCCTAGATTCATGGTCATC